CACACACACACACACAGACCTGTGATAGCCAGCACTCATAACACGTATGCACTATCATCTTCTGCCGTAAGACCTACAAACTCGGCCATGCTCCTAAGAGAAGCTGCAGCTGTGGCACAGGTTATTTCACGTCGACGTCGACAGCAATCAAGAAGCCCCTCATCTGGGGGGCAGAACAAGGTTCAAGTTGATCAAACACCCAGCAACATGCAGTGTGGTCAGGGTATACCATATACTGGGAGGAAATTTTATAAACCTCAAAGCCAGGCCCTGAGCAACAACACAGAGAACACGTTGTCAGCATACGCATCGCAGAATCACTTGATTGTCGGGATGAATAGGTCTCTATTTTGTCAAGATACAATGCACTTGTACAAATGTGCCGCAGAATCAGTCTTGATTGTGGGGAAAGTGTTACGAGCAAGTATCTATTTCGTCCAGGTATGTCGCACCCTGCGCAAACGCACCGCAGGTACGTTGAACCCTGGACAAACTCACAGTTGAAGCAATCGGGAGTCGAGGGAGTAGAGAATTGCGAGTCAAGCGACGGGCCTACAAAACAAGTGTCAGGATTTGCAGAAGAGCCAGGCCGGGCACAACATCAAAGAAAGGACATGTTGCCGACACACACACTGCAGAATCAGTCTTGAATTGCACCAGGTGCTTGGTCCCCACCGATAGAAAGGAGCTATTAAAAAAAAAAAAAAGGAATCAGTCTTCATCCAATGATGGACACACACATGTGCAGTACACACCCAGCATCCTCACACCTTGCTTTGGATGTTCGCATCAACTAAATGGAAAGTCCAACAAACCCAACATATTCATGCAACAGAGCACTGTAACGACCCATCCATTGTAAAGACGACGAGCCCATCATGCTTGCCCAAAAGGACCATAAAACGATACGTGAATGCCAATGCAATAAGATGTGCTCACACCCTCGGGCAGGGTTTCACATACCCAGATTCTTTGTCTATGGCCACTGATCTTCCTAATCGACGGCCGGGAGGAAGAATGTGGATAGGTGGGACCTCAAGCCCTGGCGTATCAAGCATGACGAACCGTGGACAGTATTTTCCACATGATCTCCAAGTATGCGGTTTTAGACTTGTAAATGTACCGTGCAAAATTGCGCTCTTTAAAACCAAGTATTTGCACGAACAGAAGACGAGCCAATTTTATTTTTAGCGGCCAGACCAGCAGAACTTACTTGATCCGCCAAATGACACCTTCCCACAGTGTGGGAAAACTGCCACATGTGAAAAACTGGAAGGTGCAGAAAGAAAAGTTCATCAACACGGCTGAGGGAATGGCAACACAGCTTTCACAGAAGCCAATAGTTACACGCCTCACGGACGCCAAGAGTTAGTTATGCACCAAGCCACACCTTGGGAGCTACCGTCATCCACACGTGTCCGTTTTCCTTGTGCCTGGTCCTTCATCTGCTCCTTCAACTTTAGCTTGGTCTTATTCTTGTCATCCTGGTACCTCCTCATTGGCTCCTCGTTCTCCCTATGAAGCACGCCCTCCCCGTTTCCCGAGATGCTAGCATTATGCTTTCTCCGCGCGTCTGACGTTGTGCCAGATATTGACTGCCTGCCAACTAACGACCCTCCCCCTCCCCCTCCTGATTTCCCTTCTACAGTTTTCCCCGACGGCCCTGCAACACTGACCACACCTTTCCCCCCTGCTCCTTTCTTGATAACTTTGGTCGTAGACTTGCCTCCTTTGGCAACCCCTAACCCCCCTTTCACAGACTTCCCTGGCTTCAATTTGCCCCCAAGAACTGCAGCAGATGCTGGGATGGGCGGCACCTCTCTCGGTAGGTATTGTGCAGTAGGAAATAAAGCTGACGAATCGAGAGGCGCACCCAGTAATGGGCCTTGCTGCTCTTGGATAGCTAGTGCTTGCTGGATCGCTAAAAATTGATACACCGCTTGCGTTGTTTCCGCTTCAGGTACATCACAATTCGCAAGATTCGGCCTGAGCACGACACCCACCATCAACGCAGGACAAGCAGAGGCAGAAACAGTGTCAGGGATGGCATCGACCATTCCGCATGAAACATACCATCACACCCCATCTTGAGCACCCCACGTAACAATTGCCTGCAGCATGTCCTTGCTAACATGTAAAAATTACGCCCATTAGAGAGTCCTATCATTCACTTGCTCCTTACATCCATAATCAGAGGTCCACTCGGCAACAGAGCGTATGTCAGCAGCCATTTGCCAGTTAATTGGGGCACAAGACATAGATGCAAAGCCCACAATGCACGACTCGGACAGACCTAACATGTATCCACCAGTGCATCATACCAGTAGGGTGACGACATCAGGCCCCAACACTCTCCAGGGGCGAAATGTGAGCAGGCGGAGAAGAGAGGAGAGGAGAGGGCTTACAGCTTCTGGTGGTGACGCCCACAAACCAACCATCACGCAAACCCATCTAACAAGTGTTGGAGCTTGGCATTCATTGAAGCGTCACATCTGATCAAGATTTCACACTGGAAAAAAAGAAAAAAAGGATTTCACCCCCGAGGAGAGGACCTCAGGGGATGGATCGGATGAATCGCACTTCCACATGCCTTTGGCTAGTGGAATGAGGTAGGCGTTGAGTTGAACACAATGAGCAACATAAGAGTATTTGCTATCCCTGCAAACTGAGTCTTCGTACGACCTGGCCCTGATGCGGCGAAAATTCAGTGAGTTCACAATGAACCTACCTGAAGGAATACATGGAGCAGTCCCATTTTTCAGGGAGTGATGACATGTCAAAGTCTGGAGGGAGTAGCCTCCACTTGCTGCACAACTCGCATTCCACCCAGTTATCCTGAGGCGGTGGAGGTTGAACCTCTGTTCCGTCAAAAGCCATCCCACCCGTGGAAGATCTAACAGTCAATGCAGTTGCAGCGGTGGTCATGTGCACATCAGCTGTGACATTAGTTTGTTGAAATGTCGTCTTGGCGCTGCTTTGTGCAGCTTTGGAAGCAGATTCCAATTCTCTAATGCCTGCCACAGGTTTCGCCTTGACTCCTGCAACCTTATGCTTTTCCTTTGGAAAGGTCTTGCCTTTGCCATCTCGAAGAGATCCCAAATGCTTCTCCTTAGGTCCCTTTTCTTTCACAGGCATCTGCTTCTCTCTTACCTCCTTCTCCCGCTCTCGTTCCCTCTCTCTTTCCTTCAGTTTCTCCCTTTCCCTCTCCTTCTCTTTCTCTCTCGCCCGTTCTTTCTCCCTCTCTCTCTCCCTTTCCTTTTCTCTCTCCTTCTCTCTCTGTTTCTCCCTTATCCTCTCCCTCTCCCGTTCTTTCTCTCTCTCCCGTTCTCTTTCCTCCCTCTCACGTTCCCTCTCCTCCCTTTCCCTCCTCTCCCTCTCTCTTTCTATCTCAATCTCTTTTTCTTTCCTCTCCTTCTCTCGCCGCTCCTCTTGCCGCTCCTTCTCTTGCCGCTCCTTCTCTTGCCGCTCCTTCTCTTGCCGCTCCCTCTCTTGCCGCTCCCTCTCTTGCCGCTCCCTCTCTTGCCGCTCCCTCTCTTGCCGCTCCCTCTCTTGCCTCTCCCTCTCTTGCCTCTCCCTCTCCCGTTGCCTCTCCATCTGCTGCCTCTCCCTCTCCGCCTGCCTCTCCCTCTCATGTCTCTCCTTCTCTTCCCTCTCTCTCTCCTTCTCTTCCCTCTCTCTCTCCTTCTCTTCCCTCTCTCTTTCCTCTCTTTGTCGTGCCTCCCTCTCCAGCTCTTGTTCTCTAAGCCGTGCTGCATGATCTCTTTCCCTTTCCCTTTCCCTTTCCTGTTCCCTTTCCCAATCTCTTTCTCGTTCCCTCTCCCTCTCTTTTGCATCCCTCCACAATCCTTGTTTCTCTTTACCGTCCTGCTTTGCCATCCCCTTGACACCCAACTTCAATGGCTTTTCTATTACTGATCCCTCCTTTCCATGCCTCTCCCCCTCTTTCACACTCTGTTTTGTGCTTGCCTCCCTCCCTCCACTTTTCTCCACTCCTTTCCCTGTGCTCTTTTCACCCCCCTGTTCCTTTACCCCCTTCTCTTCACGTTGTGGTATGCCACCTGCCCGATCGTACTCCTTCGCCAGCTGCAGTGCAATCTCCTGTGCCCGTTCAACCCCACTCTCTTGATTGACTCCCATCTCATTGACAAGTCGCTGCACAATATCCGTTAGAATTCTTTTCAGCCCATCCCCCACTGTCTCGTTCTGGTTTCCATCCCTGTCATCAACCCTCTCATCCACTGAAGCCTCATTGCACACAGGTCTTCCCTTCACCCCCTCTACCAGCTCCTTCGGCACTTCTCCCCTCTCCACATCCACACTCATCTTTTCTCTGTATTTCTGATTATGCTTACCTTTGTCTTTGACCTCCTTCACTTTCAATTTCACCTTCTTCCCAGACTTCCCACTTTGCTCCTGTTCATCATTCACCCTTTCCCTCTCCCTCTCCCGCTCCCGCTCCTTCCCCCCCTTCAACGCAGCTACGCCTTCACTCAGCATACGTGCATCACTGTCTCTCCTGCCAGAAAGCCTTTCCTTAGCCAGGCCATCTTTGCGATCGCTATCTGCTTTACGCTTACTGCTCACAACTAGAGTGCAACACTCACCACCTCCAGCCACTGTAGCCTCAAATTCCGACGATTGGCCTGGTCCAACTTTAGCCGTCCCACTATTGACTCCGCTCCCTACAACACCTCCACCACCACTCTTGCTACTCACGCAAGGCCCTGCACTGCTGCTCCCTGCAGCTGCCGTGATGTGTCCCGAGCTCGGTCCTAAGAAAGACTTCCTGCCCGGCAAAGTACGCGGTATGCTTGCTGGAAACGTGTCAGGAAGAGGTGATAGGAGACCTCCTGGTGGCATGGCGACAGTTGTCATTATCTGGATGCGCACAGACGCCCACACACACACAGAAGTTCACGTCCAACCACAGACACATGTGATTATACATTCCAATAAATCACACCACAAAGTGCATCGTATCAGGACACTCAGCGCCCAGGTCCAGACGCACAAAAGACGCCACCAGAAACAAGTACACCAGAGACCTATCAAGATCGGTAAGGGGGCTAAGCCTATGCTTCTCACACATGAGCCCAATAGCAATCAAACTGGGCTCTTCTTTTCTGAGCAACCACACTGGCTACTTTCTGTCTAGATATAAATCCATTTCCACATTGCCCTACACTTGTCTTCACTTTCTTTTTCCGAGGGGGGGAGAGGAGCCCTGGACAAGCAAGGGGCACTTTTTTTTTGTTATTTTTGAGAGAGAGAGAGAGAGAGAGAGAGAGAGAGAGACAGAGAGAGAGAGAGACAGAGAGAGAGAGAGAGAGAGAGATTGGGAGGGGGAGAGAGAGAGAGAGATTGGGTGGGAGAGAGAGTGAGAGCACTAATGCGCCGTGTGACTGATGATTGAGAGGGAAAGAGAGAGCAGTCGTCAAGGGGATGGCGACCCCCACAAACTGCAGAAGGGATTGGATGGAATGGCAATTCCCACCCATCTTTTTGAAGGACTGGTTCACTTCACTAATCTCAGAAAATATGTGGAAAATGGATCCTTAGCTCCAACAGACCTCCGACCGGTCCCAGGACAACCTCAACCCATTCAAACCCCACTTCCCACCAGTCGCCCGCACAAAGAGGCCAGACGTGCAGACAGACACAGGACTGCACTAAACCCACAGCCTTAAACCGCCAGTACACGGCCCCAGCCTTGCTGAAAAGAAAACTCGTCGCCTACGAAATTTTTGAAGGCCCCTCGCCGTAGATACGGCCTCCGAAAAGGGCCCGTGGCCAATAGCCGGATGTACTGGTGGTTTAACGCTACGGATTCACAACATCTGTGCATTTGAGCATGGGATGTGTACACACCCGTTTGCCTTTCAGCACCCCTGTACCTTACCCGTTCAGTAGTTCTACAAGGGGGGAAGGGGAGGAGATGTACTGGTGGTTTAACGCTACGGACTCACAACATCTGTGTATTTGAGCATGGGATGTGTACACACCCTTTTGCCTTTCAGCACACCTGTACCTTACCCGTTCAGTAGTTCCACAAGGGGGGAAGGGGAGGAGAAGGAGAGAGCGACGAGAAGAGCGGGGGAAATGGGAACCTCGTTGGGCCCTCAATACTTTTACCAGCAGAGCAGACGGCATAGTGGCCAGTCATGAGTCGGGTTGCTGAGAAAAATAAGCCGCAGAGCAGGCGCTGACTATAGTCAGTACCCCCTTGCCCATCCTCCATACCGAACAGGACCATTTCGTGTGTGGGCTGACCATTTCATGTGAGGCCTGTGAAAGCACCACATAAGATTCTCACAGTTTCAGTCACTGCGTCGAATGCCATGGTGCATGGCATGTTGCTGGTATGTCAGCAGGAAAGCACATTCACACTCGCAGTCATTCAGGCATGAGATATCAAGGCCCTAAAGGCATATCTGGGAACTAATAGGGTGGGGGGGATGAAAGCGACACAAGACCACAGTTCTCATGGCAGAGGCTGGCAATGTTCATCCCTTTATGGTCATCCGAGTGGAGATTACGCCACATACATGCTAACCGAACTGTGCTTGTATCATCGCACAATGGCATGGTGCCGCACTGGTCCTCTGAAGAAGCACCCTCACCATCTGTCGTAGAATCCGTCTGATATCCACAGGCAAGCATCACAGCCTGGCCAGGTAGAAGGGATGGCGAAGGGTCACCGTGATTGTCCCCCAGAAAAAAAGGAGCTTCACCTTCCCGAGGTGCAACCGCGCAACCACATACTGTTCCGGACTAACGAACCAGATCGAGTGGGACTCTGCCACCCAGTAATATTTGTTGCAATACAGTGCACTGAGTATGTGTGAGTGTGTGCTGTCCTGTTCGCTATTCACAACTCCACCAGAAAAAGCAAGGCTTAGCCAGACTGTTTTGTCGGACTTTCGCCGACTCGTCAGGAGGTTGAGCCCCAATAGCCTGCCCCGGATGCATTCGACTGATGAACAAGGACTCACCACGTCGCCCTAGAGTTGGCGTCACCCCGGAGAAAAGTGGTCGACTTTACTCACACCAAGCCTTCCTAGCAGATTGTCAGTCAAAACCCTGACAAGGACAGCAACACGTCTGAGCAACTTCTGTGACAGCCATAAAACCATGCCTCTCTCTCTCTCTCTCTCTCTCTCTCTCTCTCTCTCTCTCTCTCACACACACACACACACACACACACACACACACACACACTCCTGATGAGTCGGTGAAAGTCCGACGAAACAATCTGGCACAGTCATGCTTTTGTTGAGTGTATAGCAAATATGCCAACACACACACAAACACATGAGAATTTTGTAGCATCGCCTCATACCAACTGCACCAATGTCCTCTCCATGAAAGCCACTTCTTCACTAACTAGTGGAATTCATAATCTTGGCCTCACAAAAAAAAGGGCTTGCGGTTAGGATTGTGGCACATTAGCGAGGCAACCCTTGTGTAAACACTACTGTATACCACAGATGAGAGGCCAGATAGCATTATTGAAACAACATACACAAAGCGGCTCAGATGATTACGGATCATGAAATGGTGTCGACAGATTCACGTGGCAAACACCACTGGCCTAAACATTGATAAGAGTGAACTGTACATGCCTTGTGGCAGAATGATGCATCCACGTAACCGTTGCTAAACAGATCCTGAGCTCAAATCATGATGGATACAATAATAACCTTAGGGGCCAACCCCTTGAAGGGAGAAAAGAAAAGCCGAGTGAATCATTACCCTCACGATTGTTCTTGGACTAGGGCTCATCTCTGGACTCCAAGTGCCTGCATCTGAAGGACCCTGTTCGCATGGGAGATACCCATTCTCTTCTGGTGGTGGAGAGCTGGGTGCCGCCCTGTTGATAGGCGGCGATCGACGATTGGGTGCCTGCTTTGATAGAAGTCCCGGCAGCTTGATTCGAATAGGGGCCGCTGCAACTCCATTGCCATTTTCAAATCGAGGCCCTGATCCTGAGACTGATTTCCCTCCACCGCCGGGGTTGCTACCATGAGGAGCAGTGGAGCTCTCGGGGCCGACGCTCGTGACACACGAATTCGCAGCAGCCACTCTTGCAATGCCTTGAGATGCACCACCCACAGTTCGGGTGTTCCCAGCAGTTCCCACTGGTTTCCCACCATCCTTTCCAACCAGTCCGAGGCCCTTGTTCGCATCATTGGCACCCCTTGGCTCGTTCCTCACGCCCTTCGGCTCATCCCGAACAGGCAGCAAGCGCTTGGCGACAGGTAACACCTGCAAGCACACACAAACATGATCGAGGAAAGAGATGTCAACCCAACAGACCACCTCCTCAAGGTGAACGTGACTTCCTACCATGTGGTGCCCTCTAGCATCCCTAGCCTCATCTGCAAAGTCGATCACAAAATCTCATTGAACACTCAACCTTCGCGGAGAAACCCATATGCGGCACCCTCTCACCACCCTTTTGCAAAACATTCCTCATCTTCAACCCCCAAGTTCAAGCACAGACACAGTGAAAGAGCAGCCCACCTTCACCGACTCCCAAGCACTCCCACCTTCACCTCCAATGCCTTTGGCAGGTAGAACAATCCGACGGTTTCAGCCTGCAATTGACCCTTGCACTACAGCCACCACCGCCCTTCATGTCGCAATTCCTAATTTGTATGTTACCGACCATCCAGACGAAACTTTCTACCACCTATACCTCTATCGCAACCACATCCTCGTCCCATTATACTTATCTGACAAGTGGAGCGCCCTCCTGCAACTGTCAATGCCCAATTATACTTGACCGCAATTCGCATACTGCTTTCACACCCAAAAGAAAAAGACTGCTTTTGCACTCAACATGGCTCCCCATGTGCGTGCTTCTTCTTGAATGCCACTGTCATCTGAAAACTACTTGCCCCACCAACGGCTCCCTTTCAAAGGGCGACAGCCTTGAGATATGATCAACTGACTGGCCCCATTATTTTATTCTGTTCATTTGGTTGCAACCAGATTCAAACTTGGGTCTGTAGTGGTAGTAGACTCTGTACTTCAACAGTTCATGGGTGTACTTCAACAGTTCATGGGTGTACCAACAGAGCTACACCCCCGGGTCCGTTCGTATTCAACTTCATAAGAACAGGGACAGTTCTGCACAGCAATCTTTTTATAGGTCACATATCCAAAACTACATGTCAAGTAGTTGACCTGAAGCATGAGGTCCATAATCTCCATATAAATGTTCTTTTTTCAATAACTCCTCCCTTCCTTTTTTTTCTTTTTCTTTCGCAGGGTGATGGCCTTGAGATATCATCATTGAGCTGACCACCCCCAGGTAATTCAGAATTACATTATCTGATTGCATCAGGATTCGAACTCAGGTCTCTACAACTCTTCTATTTGTGTCATTTTGCGTCTTCTTAACAGTCAAATCACCAGTTTGTGAGATGTTTGTGCAGACCTCTGCCAGTTTTTTCATCCTCAACAAATTTAACTCGCCGCAGTCCGGCCTGTACATTAAAAAAATGGCCGGTAAGTTTAGCACAGCATATTGCTCGCAGACTGCTGGTTTAACATTGTTGAATCATAATGGAGAGAGAACAGCAAGTACCGAGCAAGAAAATGACGACCTTACGTAGCACTAGATTTGTTTTCACAAACACAAAGAACCCAAACTATAAACCATGAAGCAATGGGCTCCAGGATTGTTTGTTGAACCATAACAGAAAGAGCGCTGCGAGGATAGAACAAAAAAAATGTGACCAGAAGACAAACGGCCCGTATACCAGTGCTGAATACCCGGTCCCACCGGCGCCTCCTCCCCCCACCGGAACCGGGCCGGTCGTACCGGCCAGTCGACCGTGCCAGTTCCACCCCGGTTGCCGTTTGCACATTTCGATCGGGGGGGTGTTTCAAATTTTTTAGGGGCCGGGAGGCTTCCATGCGGGTCGTGGAGGCCTCGCAGCCCCAAAAAAATTGAACCGGGTCGCCCGAATGTTCAAAAACCGGCGGCCTATCTGGTGAGATCGGCGGCCCAGATAGGCTGCCGGTTTTTTAACATTCCAGTGGGAAACTGCCCGAACATCGGCCTGCCCTCCCCCTCGAACCCCGCCTCCCGCCGCTTTAAAGAACTACACCCTGTCACTTCAACACATGAACAAAGCCGAGACTTCGTCGCCCTCCCCGTCCGCCCCAGCCTCCGTGGAGTCGCCATCGCCCCGCCCCGGCGTCGAGATTCCCCTCCATCGGTAAGCCTCTTCCTCTGCTTCCTCTATTTCTTCTTCTTCTTCTTCTTCTTCTTCTTCTTCTTCTTCTGGTAGAGACGAACTTTACGAAGTTTGCAACTTTGTGTCGTATTTCGTGCGCACGCAGTAGTTGGCGGGGCGCGCGGAATTCTGCTCTGTGTTGGGAGGGAGGGAGAGAGAGAGAGGTGTGTCTGTGAGAGAGAGAGAGAGAGCAAAGTTTGGGCACGCTCGGAAGGTAGTTGGCAAGCGGAAAATAGTGGGCGCGCACGGAAGCCGGTGGGCGCTTGGAGATAGGTGGTCGTGCGTTGAAATAGTGGGCGTGTGCGGCGCACACACACACACACACACACACACACACACACACACACACACACACACACACACAGACAGAGGGCTTCATTTTGTGAACAGAAATGATCATCCCAAAGCAAGTTCGGTGCTTCATAACTTCTTTTTTGACGTCTTCTTCTTCTAGCACTTCTTCTTCTTCTTCTCCTTCTTCTTTGTTTTCGTCTTCTTCTTCTTCTTATGTAACCTTCTTCGCTCATGTTTGCTGCTTGTGTAGCGTTATGCGGTATGGCTTCCTTCATGTGTTCGTGCTGCTGCGGGTACGCGTCGGTCAGTGTTTGCAGGACAGTCAGCTACGCTGCAACAACCCCATTATACACCCCCACAATACCCCCCCCCMCAMCCCCTGAACGTCAAAGTTAAGGGATCACCGTGTTCCCGCCACTAGGACCGGAATCGGCAATTTTTTGAACCGCAATCGTCAGGGATTACCGTGTTCCGCCACTAGGACCACAAGATGTCGGTTCAAGAAACGCTGCTGAAATTGTAGCCATGAACGTCAAAGTTAAATGCCGAAAGGAATAATATCCATGATTTCACAAACCCATTCCCCCACCCCTGGTTCCTAACCTGTAAAAGAGAATGTCAAACATTTACGCATGGAATATGTCCAATCCTAAGTGTGTACGGCTCCTATCAGAGTACGACTGGCTTCTTCAGCCGTTCAAGCACATGTTTATTCCTCCTACCGTCTTCACCCGAATAGAACACCTGGTCATTATGCTGTAACTAGATTGAAATTCCCTCAAATACAGCTAAAATGACCGGGCGTTGTATTCGGGTGAAGACAGTAGTATGGGTAGGGTACCCTTCCTCACGGAATGTCGCCAACAGAAGACGAACAGGTAAACGATCACCAATTTGTATAAGCCCAGGCATTTGAAAAAGGGAAAAGAAAGAACGAACCGAGTAGGTAGGTGGACGGACTACAGATTACCTCTACAGCTCCAGCATTGGCAGGCCTCTTCTGACCCCGAGGCTGGGAAACATCTGGAACACGAGAGTTGGCTGTGGGAGCAACAGATGAACCGCCAGGACAACCAAGGAGACCTGGTTTCGAAGACAGCAAGCCATCTCCTGCATTCAATGCAAGACGTGAAGAGGGAGGACCATCTGCCCGCACTGGGAGGAACGTCCCATAGCCCCCAGATCTCGCTCCTGCCATAACACCACCTTGTTTTATGGAATTGGAACCAACAGCCAAAGAGGAGCGTGCATAGGAGGTCAGGGCATAGAGTGGAAAGGCCACAAAGACAAGAAATAAAATAGCTTATCACCCATGCGCAATGGATCATGATGCACAACGTTGGATGCAGCAATGCACACAGATCACTCATCGGCGCAAGAGAATCATAAGAACAAGGAAATGGCACAGCCCCACTCCGTAATCTCAGGAAGGCCACAGATTTATCATCCGTTCACCCTCCGATACCAGGCCTCTCTCTCTCTCTCTCTCTCTCTCTCTCTCTCTCTCTCTCTCTCTCTCTCTCTCTCTCTCTCTGTGTGTGTGTGTGTGTGTGTGTGTGTGNTCTCTCTCTCTCTCTCTCTCTCTCTCTCTCTCTCTCTCTCTCTCTCTCTCTCTCTCTCTCTGTGTGTGTGTGTGTGTGTGTGTGTGTGTGTCTTTGTGTGTGTGTGTGTGTGTGTAGTTAATGGACACAGCTCTATGAGCCTCATTTCGCCACTGACCAGATGAACGAATGGTGAATGCACCTTGCCATGCTCTACAGCAAGATACAATGATCGTTTCCGCATTCGGCAAGTGGCAGAACAAGGCCCTTCATCACACCCTAATCATGAATGTCTACACACTAGTTCTCCAATCCTAGACAGCCCTGATGAGAGCGCATCGTGTTCTTTGAGGGGGGGGAGGGGGGAGGGAGACAGTAGCCAAGAAAGCAGGGAAAGAAACCAAGAAAGGGCAAACGCAAACGTCACTCAACCCCCAAAGAAAAGAAGAAAAGAAAGAAAAAAGTTTAGAAAAGGAGTACAAAACGAATCAAAGAGCTATTACTAGACCCTCTACTAGGCGAACGGCAGAGGAAGGACAAGTCCCAGAAGCCTCATCTGGGAACGAGATATGTGCCCCTGAGATTTCTTCATGAAATTTAAATCACTGCTACAAAAGCATCAGCTAGGAAGTGCAAGCCCCAACAGTCTCAGAGACGGATCTAGAAGAACAGGAAAAATAATTTTATTTTATTTTTTTTATTTTTTTTGGAATCTGGGTTTGTTAAGAACAAAGAATAGCAAACAAAGAAAATACTTTTTTTCTTGCCAGGGAGGGGGAAGAGAGAAGCGGGAATATCAAGAGGACGGTGATACAGGGGAAGCCGTGTCTACCATGCATCAACTGGATCCCTCCTTCAAACTCTTTCTGAATGCCTCCGAGGCATGACCTTGAGATACGCTCTTCCTGTTCACGACAACGGTAAAAGAACACACACAAGAAGAAAACCATACGAGAATTCATCCATGCCACATTATTAAGCTGACATGTACTGGCATCCTCAATAGCACAAGAAGCCGATGACCCTACACTTCTTCTTCTCAATCACTGCAGCACAAGATGCAAACCGAAGGAGAGAAACTTCCATCCCCATCCCATACGTTGAACCGAAAGGTACATGCACATGGATGTGGAGGACATTGTGGACTGATACATCCATAATTTGATGCAACAAAGGGCCTAGCTCAGTTGGTACAGCCATTCACTGTTGAAACACACACAGACCTGTGTCCAAATCCGGATAGCCATACCAATGAATTAATTCTGATTCAGAAATTGATAACCCAGACCAACGACTTTCTCGGCCTTTTGGGTAAGATCAAGTGTCGTATCTGTTCTGTTCAGTTTAATATCTGGTTAAAAAAAAAAAAAAAGGATAACCCAGACCAATGGGCCTACCTCAGTTGGTACAGCCATGACCCCGTTCAAATCCAGAGATCCATACCAATGATTTTTTAATTATTATTATTATTATTTAAGCATAAACAGCGGATCTAACAACTACCCCTCCTAGGTTGGACACATACCTAACACAACACACCCTGCTAACGAATGAATACAAGCTATCTTTTCCATGCCGTTCAGCCAAAATGACGGCTGCATTGTGTTTGGCGGAAGAAAGTAGTCTGTGACTCCAACGCATCTCTATTAGGGATTGATATTTATTATTTCCTCTTCCCAATGGTTACCTGTTTGATTCTTCAGTCCGTTCTCTTTTTCTCTAAAATTGGACCAGTTGTTCCATTTCTTCATTTATGTGTGTCACTCTTGCGGAGGCGCCATTCTAACTAATCTTATCCGAATCGTTCCAATCTTCTCTTCTTAACGGATGACGGCATCATCAGACTGTGACATCATCGAACTGATCGGCCCGGGGGTAATTCAGAATTCCTTTATTCTGTTCATCTGACTGCATCTGGACTTGAACTCGGGTCCGCATTTCCACAGTTTATGGGTCGCCAACGGACATAGCACAGTTGGATTTGTTCCAATTCTAACGGATGTCCTCTTCCCAATGGTTACCTGTGTTACTCCTCACTGTCCTCAGGCCTTCTTCTTCTTTGCCTAATGAACATAACAGCTGTGTAGCACACCGAACACGTTCGGAGCTTCTCCAAATGCCCGAGAACATGTTCGGGTGTTCTGCCCAACGCCTCCCGAAGAGGACATCAACTGCTACCCAAGAACATGCTCGGGTGTTCGGGCGCAGCTTTTGTGGGAAATACGAGGCCCCCGCTCCGCCCGGCCCCGAAATCTGAAGTTGGTGGTGACGAATCTTTCTATCTGCAAGGCTGGGGCCGTGGACTAGTGGTTTGTTTAAGGCACGTCGCCCAGAACAAACTAATGCATGTAATGCTGACCACAGGCCCCCGCTCTGCCCGGCCCCGAAATCTGAAGTTGGTGGTGACGAAATCTTTCTTTCTGCAAGGCTGGGGCCGTGGACTAGTGGTTTGTTAAAGGCACGTTACCCAGAACAAACTAATGCATGTAATGCTGACCACAGCAGCGGAGAATGAATAATGCAGGCGCTATTTTTTTAACTTCCTTTTTTTTTACAAATGAAAAAATCCTCAGAGAGCCAAAAAGTCTGTGATTCTTGTCAACCAATGGGACTCGTGAAAATGCCAACACTGGTAGCCAGTGAAAAAAGCATAAAAAGTAATTAAAAGAAAAATGAATACTAAGCATTCATCCCCTCCCACCC